GGAGCATGTGGCTGGTCCAGGAGCTGGGAGGCAGCTTCCTCAGGTCTGTTCACCGCTGGTACCAGTCCTCTGGCTAAGGGAACGTGTGTACAAGTAGTGTATGATCCCAGCCCTGAATCTGGTGAGTATCTTGAATTCAGGATTTGGTTCAAGGCCATTGTGGTTTGGTTTAGGTATATTTAGTCTTCTTCTATAGAAGACTGGCACTAAATTCTTTTTGCTACCAAGATTGCATAACATTTATCGTTGTGAAATGTGTTACTGTGTGAAGTGCGTCAGGCATACAGAAAGTAATCCTATGCAAGTCTGCCCATTATCCACATGCCAACACACTCTGTATAAAGACAAGGCTGCCTGTAACCACTGATAACCATAAACACTTCTTCCAGGGAACTGCAGCAAAAAAGCGTTGTGTTACCTGACAGCTGAGTCAGAACCAAAGAAGGTAAGAAACCTGGGCAACCAGATACAAGAGATTTTTGGGAACATGCAGCTTTAGCTTTAAGATTTCTAGTGGGGTGATCTGTGGACATAAGAAAGCAGCTTGCAATAGGTAGACAAAATTTAGAAATTATGGCTCCCATTCATGGTGCTTTCCAACAGAGACCTTTGGGGACCTGAGATCTTCAGAGCTCAGTTACTGAGAGGTGTGCTGACGTGTTTGCTCAGACAAACAGCCGGCCTGGCAGCACCCTGCGATGTGGAGCGGCCCCAAAGGGCACACAACTGAGCCGGTGCTGTGCTGAGCTGGGGTGGCACAGGCAGCGCCTGTGGGGCAGCCCTGAGCTCGGGGCCGGCCACCTGCCTCCTGGTGCCCTGCCCCAAACCCCACACCCATGCTCTGGAGTTTGGGCAGGAATGTGCCCGTGCTGCTCTTTGCTGAGATTTCCCACTCTGGCTTGTTTTCCTGCTGTGACCTGGGCTGGCCTTGAGCTGCATTTCTACAGCAATGCCACGCCTGGATCGTGCGCAGATCTGGCAGGCGACGTGTTTCTTTGGCTGCAGCACAGCGGTGAGTTCTCTGTCAGTGCTGTGAGGCAGAATTGCTCAATGCTGGCTGCTCTCTCACCTTTGGTGCTGTGAGACTTTCCAGGCAGGGTGATTGCATCTCCTGGTGTCACTTTCTGCCACTCTGGGGAATTCCTTGCAGGTTTTGTGCAAGACTTTCCCTTTTAAAGCTCCCTGGTTTTGCTTGCCCCAGCTTCCTCTTGGGT